CACCGAATAATAAAAATATTCTAATATTAAATACGTCCAGGCTCTGAGGAAGGCGAAGTCGCCGAAACGTCAGCCATCGACCAACAACAGCAAAAACAACGACAACGACAACGAAGACCTGCACCAACCTTGTGTCAGCTTAAGAAGATCAATTTATAAGATCATATAAATAAATAAACCAACTATCTATGCCGAGGTTTATAGAAAGTCGGTCTTTTGAGTTATGAATAGTTATTGATTGAAAAGGGTACCATTACGATCTATAGATGTCTGTCAATGAAAATGCAGGAGCATTCTTATTCTATCAGGGATAAATCCCAACGCTGCAGAGCTTATGGATGTACTTTCTTGCTTTTGTCCCTACGGATTGTAGTTCTCCGGGAAGCAGCGACGAAATCGAGAATTTGTCGGCAATCATAAAAGCTATCACTGTAGCGAATAAGTTAATTGAAAACGAGGTATCAAAGCTCATAGAATCGGCGAATTGGTTTTTTCTCACCGACCACATCGGATTTCCATCTTCACTCACAACTAATTTCCTTCTGCATCTCAATTATACCCTGCCAAATTCGCGCATCAAATATCAAGCGGACTTGTTATTACTTCTGGTAGGCTCATGATTATGCGGAAAAAAATGTCCGAAAAAAGACATTGTCTTCGGTTGAGCATTCGGGTGGCCAGAAAAAACACTGTAGGAAGAAATATGAATCCTAAACGAGAAGAAAGAGAGTGCTGGTGTTTTCCCAGACCAGTGCAGTACCAATTATTTGGCGATCGCGGAGGAATAGAAGGCTTGCTGAGTCCAAGGTGCAGGATGGAAGCAAGGACCACCTATGTTTCTCAGCGCACATCTAACCATTGCGCTACACGCGACTTTTCTAATAAGAATACACTCATATGTTATGCCTTCTTTTACCAGTTTCTTCTTAGCTGTGACCAGCTTATTCCTCTTCAATCGATAGCTTTCCTTGCATAGATGCTGCAAAAGGCGCCTATTGAAGAACGCGCTTCGTTCACACTTAAGAAATTGGCTACATACAAGTAAGCTGCTGAGACATTTCTGAGTAAGATACCATAGAAAAGGAGATGCGATCTGCAGTCTACAGCATAAACGCGAAAACAAGAGTCCTGCAGCGGTTATTTCTGTTTTGTATCGAAGCACCAACAAGGAGATTGTTACTAATCGGTTGAGTACTTGATGCTTCATCCGACAGTACCGATTGTTTTGAGGTAAGACAAGGTGACTTTCATCAAATTCCACTTTTTTTCGTTTATACCTTTTCTTATTAACAATTCATAATGGAATATACTCGAGGGAACATACTATTTTTGATGGAAAAATTTTTGCAGCGAAATTTCTCAGCGTATGTCACAGAGTGTTTCTTCTATGAAATTTCCATGGTAACCAGTTTTTGAGTAAACATTTAAAACAACATCGACATTTCCAACGACCAGTGCACAGTGTTCATTTCAAAAATCAAGTTAGTAAATTGTCGGAATACCGGTTATGGTGTACCTTTCAGGTATGGCATGAAATGCAGCACGCCAAGAAACCAGACCAATGCAATCATGACGGCGGTATTCCTTTGGCTCAGGAAGCTTCGGCTCTTGAATGGCCAGGAAATGACGACCAGTCTGTAACTTTAATATTAGAAATAGAATTACCAGAACAAATGAGCACTCCACTTTCCCAATAAAGGTTAAGCATTTGGACTAGGGAGGTGGTGCGAAATTTCAGCGGAGGTAAAACTCGCAAGTACAACGTTGTTGTTTCGACAACTAAACGGAAGTGGAATTAAAGCTTAAGCACGTAATCGCTTTTTACGAGCCTGAGTTTATAGTCAAAAGCACCTCCAACTCTCAGAATGCGCTATTTGCCTCTAATGGAAATTTCCAATTCTTACTTGGATAGTTGTATGGCCCGGCTTCAGTGTTTGTGCANTTTGGAGTTTTGCTGCCTAAGCCATTGAGGTTTCCTGGAGTCCCGAGATCAGCCTGGTCAAAGTCTGCCCTAGGTCGTCACCACCACAGGCTTCGCCGCCTTTGAGAATCACAGGGAGATTTTCTACCATGCGACTAGTTTGATATCATGGCGGTGGTGGATCTTGACATTGGTTCACCCTCAGCTGGTCTTCCTGATGGAAACGTCGGACTCCTTCTCAGCCTGGAGGACATGCTAGGGATTAATCTCCTCGCTGTAGATCGCAGCCCAACAGAGAAACACATCCCAGCTACGATGAGGGGGTAAACCGCTGGAAGGATTACCATTCCCTGCTCTGCCTAATAAAAATTACCATTTCTGCCAAATAAAAAATTCTAGTTCTGCCAAATGAAAATTCATCTCCTTACTAAATCGTTATAGGAACCCAAGAATGCTTAAGGGTAGACGAATGGCACACTCTTTTAGCATTGCGGCAGTGATTGATGCGAGTGCCGATAAACTATGATCTACCAATCTTAATAATGTTACATCTTCTTAAACGGTGCTCATGTTACTTATTAATCGGATTGCATTACTTCTGTAATATACTTTTCATTCCCATCGTACTTCAATAGTGTAATCGCCTCAATAAGCACGGAAGCTATTGAATATTTGGTTGAATTTTTCACGCTTCCTCTATTTTCCAACGAATCGGGGGGGGGGGGGGGGGGGTTTTTTTGGNGGGGGGGGGGGGGGGGGGGGGGGGGGGCTTGTTTAGGATACATTGATAGTCCGTAGTTAAATGTTGCTGTATCAACCCTCCTCCAATGAAACGCTCATCGTATGCATAATTGTCTTGCTCCACCTGCTGAGTCCATTAGTTCTTCATTATTGCTCAGTTGCTAGAAAACTTAAATTGGTTAATGTGAACAAAGGTGAGCTCATGTCCATAAAATCATAAAAATGGTAAAGGATGAAGCTCTCGGCGTTGACCAGTCCCTGAGGGATGCGCCATGCATTCGACTTCATTAAGCATTGCTTGGAGGTGAGTGAATGCATATCTGGCTTTTACAATGACTCGCGGTGGCCTACCGATGTATCAAGCCAGTGCTGCTATTCTCCAAGATAAGTCTGGCACCAATTTGCCGACGCCGGAGGGATGGAACGCTTGGGTGGGCCATGGGCGTGACGACCAATTCCACGTGTGTATCGCAGTGGCACCTCCGACCACTGCGTTACAGACGCCACATAAAGTCATAGCCGTAAGTAATTGAATTAGAAAAACTACGAGCAAGATATCGGCAAAACTAGCGATGTTATAATATCACAACATTTCATTCACCATCATACAGTAGGAAACCTTCTTCCAATCCCCGGATACGAGCTACTTCTTGACATCGACGTGGTCAAATGTCAAAACACCTGAACTCGATTGTCTGGTTGGTTTCTACTGAAGATTACGCTGATCAGCATCCGACTTGTTGTCGAGAAGATATAACTAAGTACCAAATTGCAGCTGAAGTCAAACACGTTCTCGATCGCCTCTGTGGATGGCGGTTGAAAGACAACGAGACGGCTTCAAAAAATAGTGGGATCTATACGATGTATGAGAGAACGTGTCACCTAACTCTATGTAATTAAGCACCATCCTCTCTTATTATTGAAATGGTGCTGCTTTTATAGCATTTATATGGCGTTGTTTTGCTGCCTTCTCCTAACAGTCCGCCGCTTCGTCAGGGCAGAGCGGTGTTCAACGGTGTCTAGTTGCAATGTATGCTCAAGTTTCTTTCAAACAGGATCTAAAAAGCTGGAAAGCAGTGCCAAAAATTCATTGAGACGCCTTCCAATGCCATAAATCAGTGATAACTTGGGAAGAACATTATCGGAATTTAGGAAGTGTTGACAATCAGGAGAAGCCCTAGCATCACTTCTGACACCTCCACTGGGAAAAATTTTGCATAACCTGTAAATTATTGCTGAAGTGGAAAGTGTGAAAGGATCTGCACAAATCTTCGTAATCCGTCACGACGGGAAACGAATCTGAGTAATCAGCTAAACACTCAAGCATTATGTTGTCAAACCGTCATGTTTGCTTTTGTTAGCAATGGAGTCGCATGCGCGGATTCATAATTGTGATTGCAGTACCAACAATGTCATTATGCCCTACTAAAGCGACTTTTACTTAACATTGGCTTAGATAAATAGAGCATAGAGCTCTCGGTGTTGACCAGTCCCTGAGGGATGCGCCATGCATTCGACTTCATTAAGCATCGATGTAGGTGATTGATGCATATCTGGCTTTTACAATGACTCGCGGTGGCCTACCGATGTATCAAGCCAGTGCTGCTATTCTCCAAGATAAGTCTGGCACCAATTTGCCGACGCCGGAGGGATGGAACGCTTGGCGGGCCATGGGCGCGGGGATCGACTCCACGTATGTGTCGCAGTGGCGCCTCCAACCACTGGGCCACACGCGCCCATTGGCGTGGATACCCAATATATTCTTTTAGGCTGTCAACTTACACGAAGTTGTTATCTAATACTTTTTCGGCGACGTCTTTGTCATCTTCAGAGCCAATGATCAGAGTCGATGGTTTACAGTCACTCATCCTCGCGTCGTGGTTGTTTATTGTCGTATCGAGTTGAATCTTCTTTATTGGATCACCGCTCAATTGAGTCACCTCGCTTGGCGATGTTTTCTTTCTGTAGAAGACGGTTTTTGACTGATTGTCGACTGATAAAAAGGCATAATAGTTGGAATGGTAGTGGTACTAGGATTGTTTTTGTGCTACCTATTCTAATACCTATTCCTACGGTATAAACTATCGACATGTGAACAGATCATGATCAGGCTACAGCCAGTCAACAACCATCTTTCATAAAAACAGACCGCTGAGTGTGTAACCGCATTGGCGCAGTGCTCCAGTCAAGAAGACTAGGCTCGACACGACTACAACGGCCTACAAAGCGAGGACAAAGGACTGCGTATCATTGACTCGGAACATCGGCTCTGGAAAATGCGAAGACGCAGGAACTTTAGCAGATAAATAAATGGTAACAACTTCATGTAAGCTGGACAATCTAAGCAAATGTAGTGGCAACATAGTTTTCAAACCTGTTTATTGAAGATATCAGATGCGAATAGACGCTCACATCCCAGACAGACACCATGAATCCTCCGAGCAGTTTTCCAGTAAGCGTTGTACTTGAGAAATCAGACTGTCTAAACGAAAAGAAATGACGGATATTTGAAGAAATATTTTTCAGCGCATTCTCTAACTGTCTGCGCCTGTTAAGCAGACATAGAACAGTTCCATACATAGAGATAAAAACGTGAATTAGGAAACAAGTGAGTAAGAGGAAATCTTCTTCTGTTCTGTGATGAATACAAAAACGAAGCACAAGTGGATTATGAGAGCACCGAAGAAAGAAAAGAAAACCCACAGAATGATCATCGGAGCACAGAAGAATACGAAAAAAGCAAGAGCTATGAAATTAGCAACAGAGTGCGAAAAGCAGAGCTGCTGGAACGACATCGCCATCCTTCCGCCTTTGATGAGTATCGCCATTGCAACGCCGTTACTAAGTAGGCCTAACACACCAAGCTGGAAATGAAAGAGTACGGAGTGATATGTAGAATGGCAGGTGAGGATTAAAAATACTTTGACCCTCTCTCATCGTTTTGCTTTCAGACGTGCTGTAATTAATGAACTACATTAGCCGTATCTATGTGGAAACCTCACGAAAACACCAACTCTGCTCAACATTACTTCTAATAGTTTGTCCGTTTGAACTTATTTTGACTTGTTAGATTCCCTTCCGTAGAGTTCTACGACATTCGCCATAANTCAAACCTGTTTATTGAAGATATCAGATGCGAATAGACGCTCACATCCCAGACAGACACCATGAATCCTCCGAGCAGTTTTCCAGTAAGCGTTGTACTTGAGAAATCAGACTGTCTAAACGAAAAGAAATGACGGATATTTGAAGAAATATTTTTCAGCGCATTCTCTAACTGTCTGCGCCTGTTAAGCAGACATAGAACAGTTCCATACATAGAGATAAAAACGTGAATTAGGAAACAAGTGAGTAAGAGGAAATCTTCTCCTGTTCTGTGATGAATACAAAAACGAAGCACAAGTGGATTATGAGAGCACCGAAGAAAGAAAAGAAAACCCACAGAATGATCATCGGAGCACAGAAGAATACGAAAAAAGCAAGAGCTATGAAATTAGCAACAGAGTGCGAAAAGCAGAGCTGCTGGAACGACATCGCCATCCTTCCGCCTTTGATGAGTATCGCCATTGCAACGCCGTTACTAAGTAGGCCTAACACACCAAGCTGGAAATGAAAGAGTACGGAGTGATATGTAGAATGGCAGGTGAGGATTAAAAATACTTTGACCCTCTCTCATCGTTTTGCTTTCAGACGTGCTGTCATTAGTGAACTACATTAGCCGTATCTATGTGGAAACCTCACGAAAACACCAACTCTGCTCAACATTACTTCTAATAGTTTGTCCGTTTGAACTTATTTTGACTTGTTAGATTCCCTTCCGTAGAGTTCTACGACATTCGCCATAAGGTGCTCTCAGCTAGCAGCCACAGTGAATCACAAAGAAGTCTCCGCATTTTGACTATTTTTTTCTGTAGAATTACAGCAATCATTGGAATAAGACTGACTTTGGTATGGTATCTAAGCAAGTCAAGTTCATTCCTAGATTGATATCTTCATGGCAGAATAGACCGCTTGTGCATATACTGGCTTAGTGCACACGAACCCTCTCTACAACCACTATGAGGCTGGAGAACCACTAGGTTGGGACATTAAAATTACTTAGGTTAAGGCTAGATTCTGGTCAAATAAAAACTAAAAGTATATAATGATACGAATATCGATTGCTTTCATCGGACATCTGGTCTGTTACGAAGACATCCATTTCTTCACAGAATTCCAATTCCATCATCTCGATGATAAAAATGAATGTTGGAAAATTGACAAAGAAACAAACAAATTCATCTGCGATGAAAACTCCCTCGAAGATGTGTCGTACATCTCACTCCATCCCTGCCATTGTCGAGGGATAATTGAGTGTATATTTGGCACATACAGTGACATATGCTTAAATATGCATAATTTCAGTGCATGCATCCTCGCCGACATGCCTGAAACCAATTTTCCACCAGACTTCAGTGGATCACCGCTAGCCATTGAGTAGCCCAGATATCCATCCAGATCCTAAATATATATATATACTTCAACGGTGTCTATTGGAGTCGAATATATAGCGCATCTCTCATGGATTGCTTAGCGCCGAAAACTTTATCTTCTAGCTCTCAAGCAGTAGCGGAAACAACATACGAAGTGTTCGAACATCGTTGCCAAAGATGATTGCGAGAGAAATGAACCGAATGCAAGAAGTGCTGAGATTGGCATTGCAGATGTGATGGCGGGTGATGTAAAGTGAAAAAAATAAAATACGAGTCTTTTCAACTCGCTTGCAACCAAGCTGATTTTTTGTCAATCAAACAACTTTAGAACTAAATCTTTTAGCACACTTATAGGAGAAATACCTCTCTTTTGCCTTAAGGGTACAACAGATCTCAGTCGCTTTCATTGCAACTAATGGTGCTCATTTGGAGAAATGTTTATTCCAAGTTGAAGGCGGGTAATATTTCGCAGCACGTGCATTAAAATCAATGCGGATCGTTGCACATGCGTCAAATCGAAGGGTCGTGATCAGGTATTTCATGGGTTTACATAACGTATACGGAGTCGCCCACTACGGGTCAAAAGCAACCGTTTGTTTAATGTCAGAAGTGGATGGATTCAGTATGTGGACTCGTTATCACTACCTCCTTGGTTTTCTTGCTTGCATGAACCAAGTTGAACTTTTCGTCCACCCATATTATGCATTTAGGCGTATTGCTAAATAGGAGCACCTTTATTCATTTGTATCGTTCAGGGTAAAAGGGATAACGGATAAAGCTTTCGTCGTTGACCAATCTCCTAGGGATGCGCCATGCATTCGACTTCGTTAAGTATCGTTGGAGGTGATTGAATGCACATCTGGCCTTTACAATGACACGCGGTGGCCCACCTTTGCACCGAGCCAGTTTTGCTATCCTCTGAGACAAGTATGTTATTAATTTGCCGACACCGGAGGGATGCTTGAGGGCCATGGGCGCGGCGATCGATTCCACGTAGGTGTCGAAGTGTCGCTTCCAACCACTGAGACACACGCGTCCTCATTTAGGGTAGAAAACTACAGTCAGCTTACTTGGAAGTGCATATTGAAGGATGTAAAGTGCATTCAACAAAACCGCTTAATATTTGCTGTGAGAGAGCTTATAATGTACTCAAGGCTATCTCTTGTCATAACCGCTAAAACTACTTAGGGCCATGTGAGTTAGGTTAGAAACATCGAATTCGATATCACCTGGCCAAACAAGCTGAGCACACCGTTATCAAAACGATTTTTGCAAAAGTCAAAGCTAACTTTCCCATTAGTGGAAGCTTGTGTGAAGCCTATTTTTGTCTCGTAGAAAATGTTTTTCTTAAAGGTTGGCTGCATCTCACATCTACAGTGTAGTCATAAGAGTTATTGCACTTCTTGTTCCCTTCAGATACTATTTTATCGTCTACCTATAGAACTGCCCACAGTATGAGCAAAAGTGACATCAGCCTTCTTACGAAGCAATCCTCTTTTTTCAATTTTCCTGATTTTCTGTCCTCACTCTCCCAGTTAACATATGATTAGCACGATTCTCTTATAATTCAATTCCCATTGTCCGCAAATAAGGATGTAATAGGTCTTAGTTTCCATGTTGAATAATGCTGTTAAGTAGACGTTCGCTACGTAATAGTTAAAAGTGCCATGAAATACACAAGTGGTTCTTAGGTCGAGTTCGCACCTTGGACAAACCGCACCCTCTGTTATCACAAAGTCGGCAAACTGGTAGGTACNTCTACAGTGTAGTCATAAGAGTTATTGCACTTCTTGTTCCCTTCAGATACTATTTTATCGTCTACCTATAGAACTGCCCACAGTATGAGCAAAAGTGACATCAGCCTTCTTACGAAGCAATGCTCTTTCTTCAATTTTCCTGATTTTCTGTCCTCACTCTCCCAGTTAACATATGATTAGCACGATTCTCTTATAATTCAATTTCCATTGTCCGCAAATAAGGATGTAATAGGTCTTAGTTTCCATGTTGAATAATGCTGTTAAATAGACGTTCGCTACGTAATAGTTAAAAGTGCCATGAAATACACAAGTGGTCCTTAGGTCGAGTTCGCACCTTGGACAAACCGCACCCTCTGTTATCACAAAGTCGGCAAACTGGTAGGTACATCAGTACGCCACTAAAACTCACTATATATAGTAGTTTTGCATTTATTCATTTATGGTATGCTTTATGGTTTGGAAGTATTCATCAACGCCGAACGTTTTACCCATTACATTCTCTGTGATGTTAATCTACATCTCTTAATTCTATCGTAACCTCACCACAGCCATCGATTGGAATTTCTATCGAAACTTTCCTTTCATAGGAAGGCTTGATTAATCAAGAAAGCGATTCAATCACATACGTAACCATGTTTAAGCGAAGTATGCACCCATTTTTTTCTTTGTAGTGGTGCGAATGCTGTCGAATGCATGGTGCATGCTTGATGGGATGATGAACTCTGGTCGGAAGCTTTGTCCTTTATCAGTCATTTATATATAAAGCGATGAGTCAAGTTCTCTCACAAACATGTCATCACGTTCTCATGCAGCTCAGTTATCGAAAAGGGGCATCGTCGCGAATGTGCTAAATCAACTACCACTTTGCACTGAGTGAAATGCGCGCAAAGAAATGAGCACGCTCCCGTGAGGCGTCCTCGTGAGCATGTTAACGAACTCCAAGGATCTGCTATGAGTAAAGCAGATTTTCGGAGTGGCACCAATAACTAAGCAACCAAACCTCCCTTGCACTTCTATTTCAATTGATGACTTCAACACCACTGGGTAACCTTTAGAAAGAACCTTAAGAAGTAGTTACGAACTGAAACTTGCTCAAATTCTTGAGCTCATACGAGATTGATAAAGGCATTTATTTCGGCCAACATTTCGATGCCTTCGCCTTCATCAGAGCCGACGTGATCGTTTCGGTGGTCAACAGTTGTTCGTTATCTCGATGTGGCGTCTTCTTCTACGTACCTAGACGGGACCTTTTTTAGTGAACACCGCACGAATGAGCATGCATTCCCGACAGTGTCCTTTCATACAGGGCGGCTGGTGCTGATAAGACTATCTGTTGATAATAGTTTGCTTTTCAACGAATAATCCACCCTACAGCAGTCGATATAATGTTGGCTGGCACAAAGCGAACAGCAAAACCTTTTCCAAACCGACCGTCATTAACCTCGGTAGTGAAATAATCAACATTTATTCTTATCGAACTGATATTTCAATGGAAAACTAACGAAGCTGGATATTATTTGCTAAAACAATATGAAACGTAGCCACCATTAACCGCTTTCGTTTTCGTCTTCAAGCCCTTCATCACGAAAGCCATCCACAAGGAACACTTCAGAAGAACTTCAAATTGGGAGCCATTCAACTTTCATGGTGACAACTGATAGTATCCGCAGAAACACAGAAATTGAGAAGCCCTTCTCTGCATTTGACATTTCGATGGTGCAAAGAGCACCATAAAAATGAGCTCTAGAACCATTCAAACTACGAAAAACGCCATGGACAAAAGTTTGGTCACTTTTTTGGTACCTTTTGAGAAAATAGATGTTGTTGACGACACAAATGAGAATCACATTCAGTTCATCCAATGTCGTCACGTCAGTGGTGGAAAAACCAAAAGTTTGAAAACGTAAAAGCTTTTCTCTGTCATATTCAATAGATCGAAAACAAGACTTTATGTAGAAAAGAGTAGAAGTATAAGCTAAAGTTTTAGTTAGAAGAGGAAAAGGATTCTCAGTGGACAGCGAAGACCTTCCCAGTTCGCTCACGAAAATACCAGATCCGAACATTTGGAAAACCTACCGCTAGTACATCTCAACACACTACCCCTGTACTTTTCAACGTCGCTCAACCTTCCTCCTCTCTATCCTGTACAACAATTTTACTGACGTCACCAAGTGGACGCAAAAGGCGATGGCCAGACAGGGGATCGACTAAAAGCGAGCATAGAACGAGAACCGTTTACGACAGAGTTGAGTTGGATGTCAAACTCATAATGGGACGATCGCTTACCCGATACTTAGACATCACCAGTGACTCTTAGGGAAAAATTTTATGCTTCTTT